CAACAGCAGCGGGTCCACTCGGACCCCTTCAGCATAGCTCAAGAGACGGAGCCCGACCGTGGAGCCCTTGGGGACCTTCCCGAGACTTCCAGCAGCTCCCAATCGAAGACGATGAAGTTGGGTCGAAGGAATCCCCATGATGCTGGACCCCCATAGAGCCGACGCCGTAGGGCCTCCACGCTGAATGAACCCCGTGTTGGCCCCCGCCTCCCTGAGCTTCTTAATCTTAATCGTCCTCCCTCTGGCCTTGTCCCACCTGTCCCGAGTGATCTGAACCCTCCGTATGGACCCCATCACCGCGTCGGTGCCGAGGTTCCTTGCATGGTCCACCTTGCTTTCCTTCGGGAGGTCCCACAGGGGCTGCAAGGCCTCATTCAAGTCCGAGTCGCTAGTCATGTACTTCGACTTTTCCGAGACGGGGAGCTCGAGCTCCGAGAAACTGGACAGCAGGGACTGCACACCTGCGGCGAGCTGCGGTGCAATGAGCTGCTGCGGACCAACAATCTGCAGCGCGATATCGTCTATCACGTTACGGATGCACAACTGCGGCCGGCCAGACTGCGCGGCCGAGAGCGGCGACAACAAAAGCAACTTCGTAAGCGCGGTAGCTGCAGAGCACCCTGCTATGACTGCCCCATTGCCTTGCACCTTCCTAGATACCGCCCCTCCATAGTGCAGCATCCTATCCCCTGCATAAATCACGCACAACCCTCGCAGGAGCTTCAAATTGAAACCATGCTGGCACGCCGCACGATACAAGTCCATATGGTCGATGTGCTCATAGAACTTCTTAAGGTCCAGGAGCACCGTCGCCGCCGAGGTCCCCAGGACTTTCCCGAAATGGGCCAGCATGTTGTGGACCCATCCTGCTCGTTCACAGGTAGACGTGGCCCCGACGCCCCAGAAGAAGGCCTGCTCGTGGGCCTGTTCCCAGGTACGGCAGATGTTTTGACGGCACTTCGACCAGATCTTGGTGAACATGCACAATAATCCTATCGGGCGTACTCCACCATCTGGCTTGTCGAGGAAGATGATATTCGTCAAAAACTCTGCGATCACACAGGGTCGATCCTCGAACGAGCGAAGGATGTCGATAACACGCAATTGATACTCTTCTGGAAGAAACAAGATCTGGCGGGGATGGAAGGAGTCCCACCCAAGACCAGCCCCTTCCCCATACGAGTTACACACACGTCTCAACTGTTCCAGAGAGATAGGTGGTAATTCTTGTCCCAACACATCCCAATGAGCTGGGTGATCTTTGCTGAGCCTGCCTTCTTTGTGCCAGAGGGGAAGCCACTGCTCTAGAAGCTGGAGGAGCGCGAGCTCACCGTTGACTGGTAAGCGGCCGTGGTCGTCTACGACACTGAACGGGACCGTCCTGTCTGCGCGAGAAACCCTGGAATATGCATGCGCTGCCTTCCCTCCCCGCTGCACTGACGACTTAGCCCACTCCTTCCACTCCGATAGGGACTCCTTGGCGTCCAACTTTCGCAGGCCTTCTACATACTCTCGTAACTGCCCGAACAGCCCTTCTAACTCCTCTCTGAGCCCCATGGATATCCCTTCGACTAGGCTGACCAAAAATCGGACATTCGTGCCTGCGTCTGGCGCCTCCAGCGCCGAGATCATCCCGAACAGGGCGGCACACCATTCATGAAAAAGACCGCGAGCTCTGGCGCCTAGCATATCTGGGCCAACTGCAGCAGCTCGACGCGCCAACGCCTCGAAGGACATCCAACTGGTGGTCCGCTTTGAATATCTTCTCCTAGACTCTCGGTCCCAAACCGTCTCGAGGGGAACCTTAGTGACTTTAGGCCCCCCAGCTCTTCCACACGTCCTGGCCGCGCTAGCACTGTCTAGGTCGTGGAACTGCACGAGCCAGCCCTCGGCCTGGGTGAACCATTCCCTGACCATGGACCCCAAACAGTGCGAGCCTCCTCCAACTTCCCAAGACCACGTGCCTTCCGTAGGGAGCCTCCGAGGACCCACAAGCTTGTCCAAGGGGAACTGCGCATATCTAACCTGCTTCGGGACAACCGTCGACGGGGCCAGGTTCTTGACAACGATGCCCACAGGCATATGAGGCCACGAGGGGGCTGCAGGGAACGCCAGGACCTCCTTGACGCAGTGCCCCAAACACCTGGACCCCACGAAGAAATCGATCTCCCGCTCATCCTTCCTGTCGAACTCCTCCTCGGGCCCTGCACTGGATCCTGGAGCGGGCCCTGATCGACACGTAGCGTGGCCCGTCGTAAACATACATCCCCCAACCTTGGACACCCATTCCGATGCTTCGAGTTCCTCAGGGGTGAGGTTCCAGTCCCCTTGCACGATCCAGAGGCAGGTGAGGGACTTGATGTACTCTCCGAGAGTGTTCAATACCTCAACATTGTCCCCTGCGACTCCAATGCTGGTGTAGAGGTAGACCGAGAAGACCATCAACCCACCTGGAAGTCCTACGTTGATGTGCCTGCTTGCCACTCGCGACTTGAAAGGTTCCAACTCGGGTGGCCTTGGCACACTAGAGGACGCCAGAGAGCTGGCCACTGCCAAGCCTACTCCTGCCGAGGACTGCGTCGGACCTGGCCCAGTAGACGCTGCAGGTCCTAGAGAAAAAGCGAAGGAGCGGCGATCACCCCAGCCATAGGCGGAGTCCAACTTGCCCTTCTCCTTCAGCCGAGTCTCTTGCACGCAGATCACATGCGGCTTGACTGGTTCGCCTGAAGCCGACACCACGCCGAAGAGGTTCGCTTCTTGGTCCCTACACCAGTCAACCACATTAGTGAACGAGTCCCACGTGTTCGCATTCACTCCAAAAATGATCAGATCGCTGACGATCGTGCCCGCGTGGTCGACTCCTCGAACCACGCCGTCCTGACCTAGTTTTCCCTTTTTGCGTCCATCGCCAGGTGGGGACGAGAGATGGTGTAGCCCTTTCCGCTCAGAGGGCAAGTCTCCTTGGGCACCGTCGGGGCTAGCTTTACACACCGCTGCCCCTGCCGCAGGTGGAGGCAGACCGCCACATCCTTCCATGAAATCGCCCAGGCCTCCACCGAGAACACAGGGCCCATCACTTCCAGATGCGACGCAAGCCTGCAACGCACCATGCCCATGAACAGGAGGGGAGGAGAGGTGGCGCGGGCCTTTCCGCCCCACAGATGCACCTCCAGACGCCCTGGTACTTCCTCTCGACGTGGTGCCCGAAGACGCGGGAGCCGCCGACCCCGCGGTGGTACCCGAAGAAGATGTGGACTCGCGGGGAAGGCCCCCAGCCCCGTTGCGACCGAGGGGTCCCACCTCGCGCGACATAAGAGACAGTGACGCTATCGGGGTCGAGGTCGACCCAGCAGGCGATGTCCCTGGCCCTGACCCTCTTCGAGGGTCCTCGACCCGAGGGGGGGCTGCTCCGCGAGACCGTCCGTCTCTGTCCGAAGCTCCGTGGCCCAGGCGAGGCCACTGCCGTGGGTCCAGACCGACCCCGTCGAACTGGCGGAACAGCTCCGTGTCGAAGATGAGGTCGTCCCTCCGCACTGGGACTGCGAAACCCGTCGCCTGCTCCCAGTCGAAGTCGATCACGTTGCCCCTGGTGAACGCGTCGAGGTCGGCCATGCCGACGCCCGCCCACGCCGCTGGCACGGGGGCACTGGTCGCCACTGGGTCAGTATCAGCCCGCTCTCTGCCGTCACCCTCGACGCGCCTTCTTGGCCGTGTGCTCGGCGAGCAGCTTGGCCACGGCTGCAGACGTGTCCCCTTCGCCGTCCATGGCGCGCTTGAGGGACTCCTGGAAGTCGGCCTCCAGGAAGTCGGACTCGTCCATGGGGACGGCCTGGTGCTCTCCTCCATTCCCAGGGGCATCCTCTGCCTGGCTCCCAGCACCAGCACCATGATCGCCAGGAGGGCCTGGGCGAACGTCCTCGTCCTCTGTCGCCTGCTTGGCTGCCTCCGCCTCCGCAGCCGCCTTGCGCTGCAGCTCCTCGAGGACAGCAAGGGCATCCTTTCCTTCCTGCGTGGACAGCACCGCAGGTTCCAGCCCCGCCGTGAGCACCTTGAGAGGGTTCTCGTGCTCACCTGCCTGGAGCTTCGCCAGCACTCCTCGGGCGGCGACGAGGTCCGCCTTGGCCTGGTCGATCCCCTTCTGGATGCCGTCCAACTCCTCGTCGAGGGCTGCCCTCTGCTCGTTGATGACAACGCAGCGGGCCTCTGCCTTCTGGATCTTCTTCTTGAGGTTCTCCACCTTCCACCAGGCCGACATTGTGGTGGGCGGCTTGGGCGGCGCCGTAGCCTTGGTCTGCGCTGCCGCCAGGACCGCAGCATGGGCGTCCTCAAGGCCCTCACTCTTGAGGAACTCCGCCACCAGCTCATGAGAGAGCCCTGCAGCAGCCGCTGGCGCCTCGCCCTTGGCCTTCGGCGGGCCGCCTCCAGCAGGGCCCTGCCCCTTGCCAATGCCCTTCGCCTTGGCGCCCGCTGGCTGCTCGTGCCAAGGGGGCGCTGGCGGCGCCGGCTTGCCGCTGAGCTCCGCCACCTTGGCCCGCAGCTCCTGGATGATCCTCGCCTGCTCGGCCGCGACTGCCCCTCCTGGCGGCCCATCGGCCCAGGCTCCCTGAGCACGTTGCTTGACCGAAAACGAGGGACTCTGGGTAGCCGCAGCAGCTCTGCGCGCCGCCTGGACCACCTTTGCGGGTGCCGATGCCCCGCAGCTCCTGCACTTGACCCGATTCGCCCAGTTGTTCCAGCAGCCGCAAGAGCACCCCCAGTAGGGGGTGCGCGCGCCTGGCAGCACATCGGGCTGTGGAACCATGCGCCGCTCGCGGTGCGGTCGCTGGCTCCTCTCCGTGAAAGAACGAAAGGAAGGCTCGCAAGCGCGAGCCGCTCTGAAGAACGCGCTTGCAAGCTCAGGCCACAACAGCCTGAGCCAGAACGGCTGGGAGGCGGAGGAGGAGGAGGAGGAGGAGGAGGAGGAGGAGGCGGAGGAGGCGGAGGAGGCGGAGGCGGAGCTCCTCCCACTCCAGCGAACTGGCGTCAACCGTGGAGCCGGTGCCCAGGTCGGTGGTGTCCCCGCTGTACCGAGTCAGCGCCATCCGAACAGTCTCGTACGTCCCCCAGCACACCGCCGCGGAGGGCATCGCGAGGCCGACCCGCGGGCCGAGGCCGCGGAAGAAGCCCTTGCCGCCCTCCTCTCGGGCCCACGCAGAGGCAAGGAGCCAGCGTGATCGAACTGGTCGATCGGATCAGATGTGGACATGCGTCGACTCGGGCTGCATCGGCACGGGGTCGCATCGAATCGGATCGAAACGAACCAGAACGACGTCGCATCGAACGAAGCAGATCGATGTGGACCCATGCACAAAAGGTGGCCTGTGTCAGGGGGGGGCCGCCCGTGCGGGGCCCGACGGCGGCGTCGGGAAAGCTGGATCTAGCGTCACAGCGAAGGGGCTCCGAAAGAAACGGGCCCTGGACAAGGGATCTGCGACCCGGGTCAATCCAGACCCGGGACAGTCAGGCCTTGCAAAATCCTGCCGAACCCAACAAAACGACGCGCCCAAGCCCGGGTCAGTGCGACCGTGGCTCTGAAGGCTCCCGCATCCTGCGCCCGGGCCCGGATCGATGCAGCCCTGGCCCTGCAGGACGCAAGATCTGGGGCTCTGACCGACCCCGCTCGCATTGACCCCCGCCTCTGGCGCTGCGACTGGGCCCCGGGGGCGTTCCCCCCGCCCTGACGCGCCCAAAGACGTCAGACCCGCCAGTCTGCCTCAGGACCCTCTCCTTCATGTGTGGGCGGCACGCACCGGGGGTATAGTGGGAAGGGGGAAAACTTCTGAGAGCACCCCCGCTTTCTATGAGGCGCGGGCCTCACATCTGTAGATGTGTGAGGCCGGCGCGTTCCCAAAGAGCAGCCTCCTTCTGGGAAGTCTCCCCCCCCCCCCCTGCCCCCCTTCTGCGCGCCGCCAACATGGGGCGCCCCCCACTGAAGGGGCCCCAAGACACGCAAATAAATACACACAAATAACAGGATTCCCCATATTTTTCTATATATTCCCACCAGCCCTCTGGGCGTCGGTGGTTTAGAGCGTTTCCTCTTCCACCCCTCCCTCTTCCCCTTCGGGGAGGGGTTTACCCCTCCCCCTACCCCCTCCCCACTGACCTGGACAAGAGGGACGGGGAGCGGTCAGAGCGTCCAAAACGGCCTCGGCGAGGAAGCCAAAATCATTGATTTTACTATGGTTTTGGCCCCATTTTGGCCTTCTGAGGGGGCAGGGCTAATTAAAGCTCCCCTCTTCTTTGAAGCCAAAATCATTGATGTTACTAAGGTTTTGGCCCCATTTTGGCCTTCTGAGGGGGCAGCGCTAATTGAAGCTCCCCTCTTCTTTGATCGATTTCCTCCAAGATGGCCCCAAGAAGCGCCCAGGAGGCACCAAGAGGCCCCAAGATGGCCCCAAGATGGCCCCAAGAGGCCCCCAGGAGGCCCCCAAGAGGATCCCAAACGGCCCAAAGAGGCCCCCCCGAGGCACCCAAGACGCCGAAAAGCCCCTCAGGGAGACCCTCTACTCGCCTGGGCGTCGTTTCTGGACGGGCTGGTGGGGATACGCGAAACGTCTAGAATTGTTTGATTTTCGTCTTCCCCCCACTTCCCATATTTTCCCATATTTTCCGGGGAATCGACGATAAATAGTGTCTGTGTTTTTTTCCCCTCCTGACCCACAAGCCCCCGCAGTCTCAGCGCCAGGGGGCCACCCAAACGAACGGGCACCCCTGCGCACCGCCGACGCTCGGAGGTCCAGAGATGGGGCCATGAAGGATGGGGCTCTCAAGGGGAGTGGCCTCGGACCCAGGGATCCGACGCTCCGAAAGATTGGAGCGGGCATAGGTTGGCCGTTTTCGGCCTCCCCTCGCCAGGCCCCGGACCGTAACCAAAACGGCACGTGGGGGGAAATATTACTTTTCTTCGAGCGATCCGCACCGAAACCTTCGGTGCTTGTTCCCAACGGTGCGCGCGCCGCCTCGAACGATGTGTGCAAGGCCTAGCGGTCTCGACCACCGAGGTTGCCGGGCCAGGTCGCAAATGGATGTTTCCCGGCATGCTAACAACCCCAGGGCCCCTGACGAGAGAAACCGAAGCAACTGGCTGGAACGACAAACCAGCCCAAAAACGCGTCTTGCGAGACCCCAGAACTTGTCCAGAGAGAGCAGCAGATTGTTGAAAGAGGAAAAGGAGGAGCTGCAACACCAGCACGAGGAGGTGGCAGACGACGAAGGTGTGGGAGTGGGAGTGGGAGTAGGACAAGGAGGAGAGGAAGAGTAACGGGGGAGGGAAAGGGCAAGGGGCAAGGTGGGAGGAGGAGGAGGGGGAGGAGGAGGATCACGAGGAGGAAGATGAAGATGAGGAGGGGGAGGAGGAGGAAGAGGAGGAAAAGGAGGAGGAGAAGGAGGACACGGAAGAGGAGAAAAGAAAGAGGAGGGCGAGGAAGAGGAGAAAAAGGGATGGGAGAGAAAGGAGACGGAGGAAACAATGACAAAGATGAGAAGGCCGGGCGGACACGGCGTGATTTCGGGACGCCCGTCGCGTTTGACGCGTCGTCGGATCGGTCATTGTTGCGCCTGTGTCCCTGTGGTCAGTCTGACGACGGGGCGCATGTCGCGTTTGATGAGACGCAGTGCAGTTATGGCTGGCGTATACGTAGTGTTTTGTTAGATTATGTTCGGTTCGATTTTGCCTCAGCGCAGTCTATGACACTATGTTATGTAACGTTATCTGGTGGACGGGCCGGAGTGACTTCGTAACCTTTTCACGTTTGGTATGTCAGAGTGAAGGGGCCGAACAGTCATTCATTGTCGCTGGGTGCGTGGCTGAAATGAGAATCCATGGTGAGGATTCTGCTTGATGCGTTTTTGTTGTTGCTGTTGTTAATGTTAATGTTAATGTTGATGTTATTGCTGTTGATGTTCTTGTTGTTGTTTGTTGTCGTCGTCCCCCCCGCGACCCACCCGCGACCCACCCCGCGACCCACCCCGCGACCCACCCCGCGACCCACCGCAACCCAACCCGCGACCAACCCGCGACCCACCCCGCGACCAACCCGCGACCCACCCGTGACCCACCCGAGACCCACCCCGTGACTCGCCCGCGATCCACCCCGCGACCCATCCGCGACCCATCCGCGACCCACTTGCGACTTATTTGCGACCCACCCGCGACCCATCCCGCGACCCACCCGCGTGCGACCCACCCGCGACCCACCCACGACCGATCCACATTAGCTCGAAGAAAAGATCGGCGCCTGCGGCGGGCTCGTTGTATAATTTGTGAAACTTTGGCGCCCGCGGCGGGCTTCTCCAGAGTCTCGCAGACTGCCGACGTCCCCACCGCCCCCTCGCTCTTATCCACAACTGCTGGGCGCTACAAATTTTGATCGGTCGTTGCGGCTAGTATTCGCTTATGTGGCCAACCTGGGCTCGGCGCGCATGTCGCGTATGATAGGCCGCAAGTACTCAGTCTCTGCTGAATTATACTCAATCAAGTTGTGTTCGGCTCTGCCCGGTTCTGTGCACATCTGTTTGTGTCTGTTCTGCTCTCGACGGGGCGGCATGGCGTCGTGACGCCTGTCGCGTTTGAGATGTCGTCTAATCGGTCGTTGCCGCGTGTGTTTTCTCCTGTGGCCAGGCGCGGATGCTGCGTCTGACAGTGCGCCCTTTATCTGTCGCTGCTGTATTCAACAACATTCAATTATGTTGTGCTCGATTCTGTTATGTTCTGATAGGCTACAATATGATCTGTTGTGTCGACGGGACGGCGTGACGCCTGTCACGTTAGATGCGTCGTCCGATCGGTCATAGCTTCGCTTGTTTGCCGCTGTGGCCAGCCTGACCTTGGCGCGAACGTCACGCCTGCCGTCTATCATGTTATGGCGTTCCTCTTCAATGTTGTGTTTCTCTTCTTCGTAACTATGCTACGGTCGGTTCACCTCTGTCAGTATAGGACATGCTACGATCTGATATGACCTGCACTTTGGCACGCCGTTATGACAGGACCAGTACGTTATGCCAGGTTCGGTTGTTTATGCTATTTTCTGTGATGCGGTTTGGAGTTTGATCATATCTTTACAATATAATATATTCTGCTCTGCTCTGACATACCGTTGCAGTGAAGGTGCAGCCAACCATGTGATATTCAAACAGTTGACGTAGTAGGGGCGGCAGTCGAACAACAACTCTGCTTTATTATGTTGGTTTCGGCGTGCTCTATTCGTTCTGGTATGATGATTTGACAATGTTATACGATGATGTGCTCGGTTATGTATGCATGTACTGCTCTCGACGGGCCGACGTGACGCCATGACGCCTGTCACGATCGTTACGGTGTCCGATCGTTTGCTGCTGCGCCTGTTTGCTCCTGTGGCCAGCCTGACCTCGACGCGCACGTCGCTTGTGATCGTATTGTCATACAAGTTGTGATGTTGTGCTGTCCCTATTCGCACATGTGCCCCTTCGGGTAAAAAAGGCTCTGCTATATTCACTTCTGTCACACTCTGCTTTGTGGCACCGTTTTAATGCACGATATGTTCTGCCAACTTATGCTATAGTGTTCTACTTGTGTGACACAAGTTGCGCTACGTCGTGCCATGTTAAATATGGTCAGTTATGATTTATCGTGCCAAGATATTCCTCAACACTGTGATCGACCCGATGGTGTTATAGCACATTCGTTGCAGTCGCTGCGTTGTTATATGGCAACGCTCGATGCTGCGTCATGTGATGCTCTGTTCCAGCATGGCATGCTATGTTATAATATGTCAGATTATGGTATGCGTTGCTATTGCATATCAAGTGATCTCGCGTGCTGTAATACCATGCGTTATCATGACATGTACTGTTATGGTATGTGATGCTATGGTACGTTACGCCATGTTACGTCATGGTATGGCATGGTATGATCCGCTATGCTATGTACGCGTTTGATATGTCATGTTATCACATGCCATGCTATGTTCTGATCAGCGGCGCTGTGTGGTGATGGGTAATGCCATGATGTGTTCGCTGTACTCGGCTCTGTCATAGCATGCTGTGTTACGCTGTTGTGCAATGATCCATGCAGACATATTGTGATCTGCTCTGTGTTATAGTGCTACTATGCTATGGCATGTGTAATAACATGTTATGCCGCACTCTGACATTGTATGCGTTCTCATGGTATGTGATGCCATGTTGTTATGTTCTGATTTGGCTTGGTATGCTGTGTTATCCTATTCGATGGTATACTGTGTTAAGATGTGTTGTGTTATGTTATGGTGTGTATGCTGTGCTATGTCATTTCATGCATTGTCACGCTCCGTTATATTATGATGTGTGATGCTATGTGTTGTGTGTGGTCCGCCCTGTCGTAGCCTACTTGCTATGTCATAATATTTATGTAGTGAGCTCTGTTATGTGATGCTGCGTTATGGTATGCTCTGTTCTGGCATGGTATGTTCAGTTGTGCTCTGCTCCATCATGCTATTTGATGCTCACTTCTGTCAGGCTCTGTCGTGTTCGTCGTCCACGCGAGGTGGGCGTCTCGAAGGATACTCGGTGGACCTGGGGATCTGGCGGCCGCGGTATGCAGAAGAATGGCCGGGTCAACGCGAGACAGGGGACTCGCGGGATACTCGGTGGACCTGGGGATCCGGCGGCCGCGGTATGCAGAATGGCCTGACCTGCGCGAGGCGGGCGTCTCGGGGGATACTCGGTGGACCTGGGGATCCGGCGGCCGCGGTACGCAGAATGGCTTGGCTTGCGCGAGGAGGGCGTCTCGCGGGATACTCGGTGGATCTGGCGGCCGCGGTGTGCAGGGTGGTCGGGCCAGAAGGTTTGTTCTTAAATTCTGACGACCCCAACCTGTCAGGTGGGGAAAATCTGGCCCCGGGGAAGTGGTCCAGACCTACGGGGCCCACACATCGAAACTATCCCTGCGAAGGACTCGACCAAATGCAGCCGCGAGCATCGCGTGCAGGTGAGGGCCCTCGGCTGCTGCGGCCTGCGGTGGAACTCCTCGTGAGGCTCCGAAACGGGTGACATGTGTGCCGCATTGGGTGCGAGTGCGCCATGCGGACGCTGCCGTTGGGGCCTTCGGTGGAACTCCATATTGGGCCAAGAAACGTGCGAGGGGTGTACCGCATCTCGCCATCGCTTGGACGTCCATTCCCTGTGTTTGTTTCGGTTTCGTGCGTGGTTTTTTCGCCGAATGATCGAGGATGCTCCTCGATGGTCCTCGCCGAGAAAAAAATGCACACGTGCGAGCGATGCCAATGTCAAGAAACGTGCGAGGGGTGTGCCTATCGCTTGGACGTCCATTCCCTGTGTTTTTTGTTCGGTTTCGTGCGTGTTTTTTTTCGCCGAATGATCGAGGATGCTCCTCGATGGTCCTCGCCGATAAAAAATGCACACATGCGAGCGATGCCAAAGCCAAGAAACGTGCGAGGGGTGTGCCGCATCTCGCCATCGCTTCGACGTCCATTCCCTGTGTTTTTTGGGGTTTCGTGCGTGGTTCTTTCGCCGAATGATCGAGGATGCTCCTCGATGGTCCTCGCCGAGAAAAAAATGCGCACGTGTGAGCGATGCCAAGGCCAAGAAACGTGCGAGGGGTGTGCCACATCTCGCCATCGCTTCGACGTCCATTCCCTGTGTTTTTGTTCGGTTTCGTGCGTGGTTTTTTCGCCGAATGATCGAGGATGCTCCTCGATGGTCCTCGCCGAAAAAAAAAGCGCACGTGCGAGCGATGCCAAGGCCAAGAAACGTGCGAAGGGGTGTGCCGCATCTCGCCATCGCTTCGACGTCCATTCCCTGTGTTTTTTTCGGTTTCGTGCGTGGTTTTTTCGCCGAATGATCGAGGATGCTCCTCGATGGTCCTCGCCGAGAAAAAAATGCACACGTCCGAGCGATGCCAAGGCCAAGAAACGTGCGAGGGGTGTGCCGCAGTGGGTGCGGGTGCGCCATGCGGACGCTGCCGCGGGGGCCTTCGGTGGAGCTCCATATATGCGGTGAGGGCCTTCGGCCGCCGGGGCCTGCGGTGGAGCTCCCCACGGGGCTGCGGAACGCGTGAAGGGTGTGCCGAATTGGGCACGGGTAGTGCGGGATGACGATTAGTAAAAAATTGGAGAGAACGATTACAAAACATAGTTTTCTGCTATTTCTGCACAATCTTCTGACTGGAGAAGAACTATTTTCAAACATAGTTTTCCGGCCCGTGGCCGTTTTTTTCTAATTGTCATCCGGGGCGCCGCGATGTGAACACGAACCCCAGTCATTTATTAATCGTCATCCTCCATTGCGCTATGCGGACGCTGCCGATGGGGCCCTCGGCGGAGCTCCCCGTGGGCCGCGAAAAAGTGTGAGGGGCGTGCCGCATCGGGTGCGGGTGCGCCATGCGGGCGCTGCCGCTGAAGCCCTCGGTGGAGCTCCCTGTAGGGCTGCGAAGCGTGTGGTGGGTGCACCGACATGAAAGGGTGGAACAACATGCGGGCGCTGCCACAATGGCCTTCGGTGGAGCTCCCTATGGGGCCGCGAAGCGTGCGAGGGGTGTGCCGACATGGTATATATGCAGAAAGCAGAGGCAGGGATAGGAGGAGGGAGGAGGGGGAGGAGGAGAGGAGGAACGCGGGGCGCTGTCTCTTCAAAGCGAGGACCCAACACCACAGGATGGTTGACAAAACATTTGAGCAGCTGGGTGTCTGGGGACAGAGCAGTTCCCGCTTGGGACCCCTCTCCTGTCCCTGGGGTCACCACGCCTCAGAGCCCCATCTTTGAGCCGCCGAGGTGGGCTCCTGCTCCAGGATGGTGCGGATGGTGGAGACGAAACCCGTGTACTTCGGCGCGCCGGAAGCCGCCAGAGGCGCCTCGCCAGCGCGCAGGAAGGGGGTTCGGGCGAGGGGAGGGCCTCCCAGAAGACTTCTATGTTCGCGGACGCCAATCCGACCAGCCATAACTGGGGGAGCTGTGGTCCTTACCCCCCTGGGGGAACCCTTCGCATCGACGATCTCTCGAGGAGGAGGAGGAGGGGGGGGCCCCATCGTCCGGAGGTGGGCGGAATCATGAGGTGTGAAGGCCTTCAAGTAGTCTGGGCTTCCGCCCGCACCCTGAAGCAAAAAAGACGAGGGACGGCCACCTGGCTCTTGAGACCGGACGACGCCCGAATTAGATTGGATCCGGCACCCCTCGCAACGCGGCCTGACACCTGAGAGCCAAGCCACGGGGGGGGGGGGATCGCTGCTTGTCGAGTCGATTTTTTGTTTTGAGGCCTCCCAAATGAGGTCGGAGTAGATGATGTCGGAGGATCGCGCCGCATCGGCGATGCATCGGCGATGCATCGGCGATGCACCGGCGGTGCATCGCGACGACGGCGATGCATCGGCGACGTCGACGTGAAGCAAAACGGGCTCCAAATCGAGCCGCATCGGCGATGCATCGGCGATGCGGCGCGATCCTCCGACCCCATCTGTCCGGACCCCGTCTGGGAGGCCCTGCTTGTCGAGTCGAAGCGGACGTCACCTGAGGGGCAGGTCCTCTCCAGCGGCCGCCCGTTTGCGTGTGCACACTGAGCTCAGCAGAAACAGGAACCGCATAAGCATCAACTCTTGGAGCTCCGCGCGGATGTCTTCGAGATCCGCGCTGGGCCCCCCTCCCTGGCGCGCGGAGCGCGCCAGAGGCGGCGCCGGAGGCGCCGACGGGGGGGCCTTGCGCGGATCCGAGAATCAGCGCAGAGTGCCAACATTTTGTGTATGGCGTACTTTTTGTTCTTAGAGAGCTGACTTTTCTGTTCTTCGAGAACTGACTGTTTTGTTCTGTGAGAATCCGCGCAGAGTGCCAACATCTTTGCGTATGGCGTACTTTTTTGTTCTTAGGGAGCTGGCCACCGCTGCGGAACGCGGGCGGCGCGGGCGCCGAGGGCGAAGCCTGTCAGAGTCGG